ACTCACCTGGAGGATCAACAACACTCAGGTAGATGATGCTGATGGGGTCAACATCCAGATGAGCTCTCTTCCTGCGGCTGGTTTCGTTCTGGATGACACGACACTCGTATGTTCCAGCATCATTAATCGTCACATTGTACAGAATCAAAGACACGTCTCCGTCCTTCATCTGTCTGTCCTGCAGATCCACCCGGTTCTTAAAAGACGGATGCTGGTAATCTGGATCAAACTGCTCATCGCGATAACAAAGGACATATTCCGTCTGCAGGTCAGGTCTGCTCCACTCCATAACTATGATGATTTTGTTGTCGTTTGGAGCTCGACATGGCAGAGTGATGTTCTGTCCAGCTGTGATGTTTATCTGGACTGAATGAGAGGACACAGTTTGGGTTGTAGACATTAAAAAGCTAATTTACTCCTTTCTGCAATCTAATCATCAAGAGCTGCAAACAGACTGACATCTGGTGAAATAGATGAATTACAGCACACACAGGATGTTGAAATTTAGCACACAGTGATGTGTGTTATCAAAGGAGACTGTTTAAATATGTGGAGAATTCAGCAACAGTAAAGTCTGTGGTCACTTCCTTGTGTAGTATGAACAGAGGTTTTTATCAGTAGGAAAAGCTCTAAAGCCTCTGTAAATACAGTTAAAATCTAAAATTTCTTCTTGTGCATGTTTGTGATGAACAGCAGCTCAACCTAGTTAAGAATTATAAATGACTTAAGGTGCACATTTGGGCTCTGTGCTACATGCACACATTTCTGCCATTCAAAGAAACTTTGTAAATAGTTTATTTTATGTAATATTCAATACTGAACTGTACATTTATTCTTTTTCAATGAAGACATTTTTATTGAGTATTTTGATAAAAGCCTTATTTTTATGCATTTGCTACTACTATGAAGAACACATGAGAATTAAGGCATGGACAAGTTGGAAAGAGGCTGCTCACTGTACGTTTTTGCATGTTTCTTCGCATTTGTTGTGCCAAAGTAGTTACCTCCAGCAAAAATTGTTTCCCCATCCACAAGAGCGTACAGAGGAGGAGGAGACTCTTGCCTGGCTACCTTTCTTTACTTGTTAGTGATCTGAAGTCGTTGAAACAAATCACAAAAGTTGGAAAAAAAAAACGCATTTAAATGCTTATTTCATGACATTGTGATGTACCGTGCGGTAGACTATTTACATTAAACGTTGCACTGCAATAACATGTTGGGAACAGTTTGTTCAGACAAAGACTTTGATACTATAATACTGTAAAACCGAGACAAAATCTATAGAGGGATAAACCCAGGTTAATTCACTGGGGTGTGATGTGATGACATGATCACGTTTGGTTTTACACTATTATAGTATCCAAGTCTTTGTCTGAACAAACTATTCCCAACATGTTATTGCAGTGCAACGTTTAAGGTAAATAGTCTACCGCACTGTACATTACAATGTCATGAAATAAGCATTAAAATGCATTCACGGAAAAGAGTGTGATGTTTTTCAGCTTTTGCGATTTATTGCTGCGACTTCAGATCAGCCTACAGAAACAGAGGTACCGGTGTTGCACAACACCGGTAACCCTTCCTGCTTTCACATCATCACGTGATCCTAGTCTGATAACCCCCTACGCCGGCCTGCACGCGTTCCCACATAACAGACAGGCCATTAATAACAGACATAATAACTTATGTTGCCCGTACGATTGACACCCCAGCCTTAGAGGCTGCAAATCGTCTATGACAGCAGGCCTGCAACTGCAAGAGAACATGCCGGTCGATGCCTGAGAATGGCTGGTGTGTCGATCCGAGGGGTGGGGTCGGAGTCAGTTTGGAAAAAGGGGCTTTTTTTTTGAGAATTTGCATTAAGTGATAAGCCCACTCTTTCTTCATACGTTAAATGTGCAGTTCTTCCCACCCGTAACTGAATCAGAATAGGTGAAGCCATATTTAAGTGTACTTTTACAAATTTTGTATAACCGATCTACAGTGATATAGTAATGTCAGACTGGTATAAATTGAACACCAACAAACGCACCGAGGAGGAACGTCTTAACAAATAACCCCAACTTACCGTTAAACGCAGACACCAAAACCACAGTGGAGAGGAGTGCAGCGAGAATCAATGGCATCGTAGCCATAATTCCTTTGCATTAGATTCGTCAGGAAGCATACAATTCCACCTGGGCACCGTACCCTCCAGTGCGGGGGGCTCCACCCCTTACGTCCTACGCCTCGAAATGACATTTGTCGTCGCCATCTTTGTTCCAAAAAGGACTTGAGAGTGGTCAGGGCGAGCCTGAACCTCTCTCCATAGTCCGCGGTGGGACGCAGACGTTTCACCTGCTCGTCTTGTTCCATTGGAAAGCCTTTCGTATATTCCAAATATATTTAAAAATAATCTCCCAATCTGAAAATATAAAGAAAAGCCGAAGCAGCGCGGACTCGCAGCACTGACGGGGAAGTCCCGACTGAGGGAACAGCTGACTGTGGTTGGTGTTTTCTGCACTGGGAGGAGGAGCTAACGTTTTGGCCCAGCTGGTTTCTGAAGTCACGCGGAACCAATCAGACTGGAATTCAGTTATGGCTCATCTGATAGACATTCATGCTCCAGAGTCTCCACCCGTGGAAAACAAATGTCGAAATACAAAC